TCTCTCTCTCTCTCTCTCTCTCTCTCTCTCTCTCTCTCTCTCTCTCTCTCTCTCTCTCTCTCTCTTCAACATGGAAACATAACCATTGTTAACAAGGGTTCGGTTTTGTCTGGGTTTTCTACTTTAAAATAGCTTCATAACTCATCCTTGATTGTTAGAGATGAGGGGGGGGGTGGTATTGACAGGCCCTTCAACTGGCTTTTCACAAACAAACAAGTAACAGAGCAAGGAATTAACAGAGATTAGGCAAATGTTTTTCTGTGCTCACTTCAACAGAGGATACAATCAACGTACACATTGCCTGGAATTTAAAGAAAGGAAATTGCAGAAAAATAGGAACTACCAGCTACTTGCTAAAGACCAGGGGCATATCTGTCACGTGGCCTTGAATTATTCTTCCTACTCAATTTTAAACATGCAACAAATTAATTAAAAGACTTCTGAATTATTTTAACACTTTCCCCCTTAATTCAGAAGTTGGTGATTTCCTTCACTCCAATCAGCTCTCTCATTTCTTCATGCTTCACTCTTGCCATTGTCTTTGTGAGAATGTACGCTTTCTGCTTCGTGCCACACACATGACTTACTATTATCTCCCCATTTCAACACATTCTCTAATAAAGTGATACCTTATGTCGATGTGTTTGCTACGTCCATGGAACACCGGGTTCTTCATCAATTCAAGAGCTGAGCGGTTATCAACAAACAGAGCTACAGGTGGCACTTTTTGCCCAGTTATTTCAGTGAGAAGTATCCGAAGCCAAATACCTTGGCAAGCTGCCATGGTTGTTGCCATAAACTCTGTTTCACAAGAAGACAAAGCTACACTGCATTGCTTTTGTGAGGCCCATGTCACTAGATTGCCATTCATGTAGAATGTTGTCCCACCTGTGCTCTTTCCATCATTCATATCTTTTCCAAAATCACTGTCAGAGTACCCTGTGATAATAACTCTGCTTTCTCCTTTGGTATAAGTCAAACCATAGTTGAGAGTGCTCTTTATGTATCTAAGTATCCCTTTTACTGCTTGTAGATGTTTGACAGTTGGTCTCTCCATAAACCGACTAACTACCCCTACTGTGAATGAGAGGTCAGGGCGTGTATGTGTGAGATACCTGAGTGCACCAACAATGCTTCTGTAGTCAGTGGGATCAACCAATTCTCCTTCTTCATCCTTAGTCAATTTCAGCTTATGTTCCATTGGACATCTTGTGGCATTGCAATCCATCATTCGAGTTTTGTTTAGGATGTTCTTAGCGTAGGCTTCTTGCTTGAGTGTTATTCCAGCATCATGTTGATTGACTTTAATTCCTAGATAGTATGTTAACAAACCAAGATCACTCATTTCGAACTTAACTCTCATCTCATACATGAATTCTTTCACGTCATCAGGGCAACTACCAGTGACCAGCAAATCATCAACATAAACACCTATTATCAAGATCCTTCCTTGTCTCTTTCTTGTGTATACCGAGTACTCTAGAGAACATCTCATGAATCCCAGCCTCTTCAAGTATTGGTCTAGACAAGCATTCCATGCTCTGGGTGCTTGTTTTAGTCCATACAGGGCCTTTGAGAGTTTGTAAACTTTGCCTACTTCATTCCCTTTTTCGAAGCCTTCAGGTTGCATTACATACACTTCATCTTCTAGACTTCCATTCAAGAAAGCCGATTTCACATCAAGGTGATGTATCCACCATCCACTCGAGCCTGCAAGGGCTAAGATTATTCGAATCGTCTTAATTCTTGCCACCGGAGCAAAAACTTCATCATAATCGACCCTCTGTTTCTGCACATAACCTTTTGCCACAATTCTCGCCTTATACTTCAAAATTTTCCCATTTAGGTCTCTTTTCACCTTGTAGACCCACTTTAACCCAATTGCTTTTCGTCCTTTTGGAAGATCAACCAGCTTCTAAGTGTTATTCTTTTCGATTGAGGTCAACTCTTCTTTCATTGCATTGACCCATTCAGTCTTCTCTTTTGCTTCTCGATATGAGCTAGGTTCTTCTTCATCTTGGACCATTAACAGCTCTTCAGGGAGTTCGATTTCTTCATTTTGATCGTACATGTCTGTGAGAAGTCAGTGTCGTTTTGGGGCTCCTCCGCCTGTAGAGCTTAAAGTTGTGCTTGGTGTTCCGACTTGCGCACTGATAGATTATTTTATTTCCTTATTTTTATTAGTTTATTATAGTATTTTTAGCTCTTTTTATTAGTATTGCATTGTATATTCTTTATTTTTCTTTATCATGGATCGTATCGGGGACTTTCTATGTTGCATGAGGTATTTTACAGGGTTTTGGAGCTTGTTGCGGTTATGGATTAGCTTGGAAATGGGCTTTGTGGGCTTACGAGGCATTATTGGGCTTTGCGGATCCATTAAAGGAGATTTGGGCTTAAAAAGGCTAAAGA